GTTGATGAGTTGATAATTTGCGAACTTTTTCTGTTTTCACTAGCAAGCACACTCAAACTGCACACACACACACATACACATACACACATTCACACACTTCTAGGCACCATATGGTACTTTCCTCCTTTTTACATCCTTTATCGTTAACTCGTCGCATATTATTCTCACATTAATGACTATTCAGCCACCAATTAGCCCCCCCCCCAACCCTCCCCCCCACACACACACATGCACACACTTTCAACAATTTAGTCCAGGGTATTTTAGCCATCAGGTCTCTGCTGACCCATGCTGATTTCCTGCTTTAGGGCTAGATTCTAGACGGTTGTGGCGCCATTTGCAGAGGCCGTTTGAGTCGAACGAACTGAGAGTTCCTCCTTTGGTCCGTTGCTCCGATGCCTCCGTCTGAGACAATTCTTTTGCACTTTCACCGTTCACCCATGCCTCCGGAGGGCCCATCTCCCAAACGCCCCCTCTCGAGTCGAGACCAGGGTTAAACGGATGCTCTTGACATGATGGACGTCTGCTTGCGCCGACCTTCACCCGTGACCGAGGCCTGTCCGAACTCAACGAGCCGGTCGCTAAAAGGGGACCGGCCCAAGATGCAAATCAAGCATGGGGCAGGGTGGAGTGCAGCTTGTGAAAGAGCCACGTTGCCTTCTGCATCCAGACTCACTTTCGGGATTAGGTCTATTGACCTCATGCATTTCAGCGCCATCTTGGCTGCCTTTTAAATTGTCGTCCCTCCGAAAAAGTACCCTTATTCGCAGCTAAATGGGCCTGCCTTGTTGGGACATAGACGGTGCATCGCCCTGACATACTTTTTCTAACGTTTGGATTTAATTTAATAAATACGGGTAAGAATATAATAGGTGTATCCTCTCTAGGTCGCATAAGGTGTGAAAGACTGATAGTTGAACGACATGAGTGGCCTCAGGTTTCCATCTAATTTCACACAGACTTTACTTCCCAAAAGATATTCTCATCCAGCCTGAAATTCACTCAAAACGTGGGGTCTACTCATCTCGGTGTGAAGGACTTCAGCCGCCAGTCCTTCACCGCCTTATACGACCCAGGGTCACTACAGTTTTTATTCAAGATCTACTTGGTTATTTTTGGAACCTGTTGAATACGAATAAAAACTGCGAAACCACTTCTCCAGCTGAACGATCATGCTGACTCATGCCAGGATCATCAACATGGAGTCCAAATCGGTTTCGAAGACCTCTATTTTGATCAAGAACTCCTTTTACTCCATCAAAATGGTTTCACCTCGTTGTCAGGGCAACCTAGAAGTTAGCTTTTAATATCGGACCCTTCAACTTGATACATTCTCACGACCAAGTTGCGAACACGACATATAGCCATGCATATTCAACGAAAGAAAACGCTACCAAAATAGGCGTCACATCATCTTAGGCCTCATCACTTATATTGGACCATGGTTTAAAGATTGCCAAACAATTGCGGTACAAGCAATGATCAGGTCCACAGACGATGCCGGCAAGACGTCTGGGAATGCACTGAGTACATGGTCAGTCGTATTTCTCTATGTCGCCCTGACAACAAGGCTAAGTTGCGAAAACAAGGTCAAACCATATTATCAGGTCAAGCCTTTTCAGAGGCTCCACCTGCCATTTAGAATATACACATTGAAGTGGAGTGTAGTTTTTATTCTAGCTTGCGCTACTAACCTCACTTTCGAACTTCCTCCCTCATGTACAAATTGCTTTCAAATGCATCAACAACATCAAGCCCTTTCTCTTTTTGGATCATCTTGAACAGCCTAACTACCACTGCCCAATAACACCGCATGAACTTGCTTTATTTCTGCTGCCTTTGCACCGGCTTGTTCTGTGAACTGCTAAGATCTACAAGGCTAAAGCAGTCCCATTCACAATCAGTGTCCGTGTTCTCTCATTCTACTAGCCCCAACATATGCGCGGAAAGCTCTTTTTTGGATACGAATAGTAACTAGATCTCGATGTACCTCCTGAGATAACATTTTGGAGAAACTTTCATTTTATATCGAAGTGCATGAAAAAGTGATTCGAAGATCAATCTCACCAGAAGAGGACGTCTGATTCCCGTCTAACTTCACTCACACTCGTCCAACATTTTAGAGTAAGCTCATCGAGCAAATCACACATATCACATTGCATAGCCCTAGTCATACCTTTCCGTGGGTGGTTAAACTTTGATGACCCTGAACTGCGAGGTTAGGACTGGTGCTTTTGTAATTTGGTTTACATGCTTATAGGCTTACATTTAATTATCTCAACCATACTTGCTTACAGACTTACGCGGTCTCGGTCTTGGCTTTTTCTTGGGTCATTGAGCCTTTGTAACCATA